TAACAAACCTGGGCACAAGAGAGCTCAACGCTAGCAACTTCAACACAGGGGAGATGCTACAGCAGGAAAGGCTGCTACCCAGAAAGGTTGTTGGAACTGTGTAAAGCAAGGACATATGAGGAGCCAATGTAAGAAGAATATTACCAACAAGTCAGCCTCAAGGAGACCAGTAGTGGTTGGTGTTGAGGGACACTCACCAACCCCCATTGTGAAAATCCCAACAGCTAGGTGTAAAATGCCAAACACACACAGTGTCTATGTGACAGGAAAGCTGGATGGCTAAATGTGCAACTTTGTCATAGATTCTGCGTCTCAGCAAACTCTTGTGAGCATCAAGGTATTAGATCACGAAGGAGTACCAGAAGCCATACATAAGCTTTGTGGTGTGACAGGACATTCTGCAAGGTTGTGGGGACCAGTGTGGGTAACTATTGAGCTCATGGGCATAAATGATAGACACAAAGTATACTTAGCTGACATTGAAGACGAATGCATATTAGGATTGGACTACTTACTACCGAGGAAGTTTGTAATTAATTTTGATAAAATGACATTTGGGAACAACAAAGGCCAAGTTCCAGTAACTGTTAAAAGAAAGGTTGAACTAATTAGGTGTCATCAAGCTGAAGTCAAAGTGACTGAAGGAGTTGGTGATGGTGAAATGGAACCAGATATAGATACTAAATCAGAGCATGAAGCCACTGGATACACTCCAGTAAAGTTGATGTTTGGTCGGGAACTTTGGTTGCCAGTGGATCTGTAAACAGGACGCCCACCTTATGAAGAGTTGCCTGAAAATGTGTCAGATTTTGTGAAAGTGTTATCGGAAAGGATGGATGATATTCACCATCAAGTGCGTTCAAACTTGAAAACTGATGTGACTGTTACCGATGATAGGACATTTCCTGATGAAGCAAATGAACCCCACTTGAAGCAGAAGCCAACGAGACGGAGACACGTACGGAAGAAGATACGTCGTCACGTAAAGTTAAGAGACTTTGTTGAATTTTAATTTTGTGTTTGTAAATTCTGTACATTTAATTAAATTATTGTTAATTGTTTATTGGTTTAATGTAAGTGGCTATTGTTCGGGACGAACAATACTAAGGAAGGGTCAGTGTTACGACAGCGGAAGTCACGTGACTCTAGTAGCACGTCATGAACTTCTAGAAGGATCCTGTCCCTTCCTGAATGCTCGAGAGGCTAATAGATATCGGTATTCTTTTATATATTAGACGGTCAAGACGTGACGGCAACAATGTAATGTGTAATTGAACTGCGGACAGAGAGAGAATTATAGCGTTTGTTATAGCGCGACTGTGGAAATTAAGTGTATTGCAAAGTTGTATTCAGAAAGAATAAACCAGTTTTATTTAAGAAAGGACTTGTATCGGTAAAGTTTCTTCGGAAAGAAATTATACGGGAAGTTAACTAACGAACGGAGGCGTAACAATATATTAGAATTTTGTATGTATGGATTATAGATATTTGTAATATAAAGCTGGTATTTTTCATGAAATGTGAATAAAATCATCAGACTGTAATAAACAAGATGTGTTTGTTTGTTTGTTTGTTTTTAATTATGCACAAAGCTACACAATGGGCTATCCGTGGATTCTAGCGTTGTAAGTCCGCAGACATACCGCTGTGCCACTGGGGGCCTTTCGATTGTTGACAACAGATTTGTGTATTTTTGTGCAGTTTTACTTACCGAGAACTCTTCACGCTCTCTTTCAAAGGCATAGGTGGCAAATTAAAAGTTTGGCCCAAGGTCTATTTGACAGAGTAAAGCGAGGGAATGTGCGGCACAGGCGCATGTATTACGACTGGGGTCTGGGACTCTCCTTAGGGCCGTAGAAGCTCTTGAGTTCTAGCTTAAGTTTTATACATTCTCCAATTTTTCCTGAGAGTAATTTTCCTAGTTTTTATGTATATTTACTGGGTCAGATTGAGAAGTGGGTTGTCTGGTCTCTCCCCCCCCCCCTTTATCCACGTTATCTGACACCACTATTTTGTAACTTTGAAGCTAACTGTCATTTTTGTTTGTGTTGGTGCCGTTTGGCTTTGGTCTATAATTTAGTTAGGTATTTGTATAAGTGATTAAATATTATATAAGTTGCGCTAAAGGATAGTGGAGCACAGGTTCTTATTTATAGTATTATTCATTATTGTAAGTTAGTAAAGTTGAGTAGACTTGAGAGTTAACCAATTGTTTTACATTTTAACTTGGACGTTCTCTTGCTGTGAGGATAAAAATCCATTATACACTTTAAATAAAAGTCCAGAGATACAGCTTTGTAGTAGATTGTATATTTTTTGTTTAACTGTGTTATAACGTTTTAAACACTCGTGTAGCCATCATGAGGTAACTGTCGTTTATTGTATGAAATAGACACAATAGATTAGTATTACCTGATAATGGCCACACGAGTGGTCGAAACGATGTCATAAAGTTAAAAAATAAAAATAAACAATCCACTAAAAAGCTGTGGACTAATATTTTTACGCTTTCTATTTATAATTCTTTTATTCTTATATGTTAGGCGGGAAGAACACACATTATCAAGGTTTAATAATATATTTATCACTCTTACAAGTCACACATTTTTTTGTTTATAATACATACCTAAACACACAATCACATGCTCAATATTGTATAATAATGCTTTGTTGTTGGTTTTTGTAAAGTGTCAAAATTTATATTAAAGATTGGTTCCTTGGGCAAATTTGTGCATCCTGTGTCATTCTTTGCGGCCTAATCATCACAAGGCGCACACGAGATCTGCGGACCTCCTGATTTTGCGGGCTTGGACTTCTCTGCTTGATACCAAAATACCTCAAGATACCCAAATCCTTTTCTCCACACAGATACACATAATTTTCTGTTATTGCGTCTGTAATAAAGATTATTTTCATTGTCATTTAAACATATCCAGTCAGTTTATTTTTACATTTAGATTACTCCCAAATATCCTGTTCGACCATGCCTATCTAATACTTGGCGCGGAAATCAATTCACCCGAGAATACCACATGTGATGTGAGATATATTATCATTCGAACTATGGAAAGGATGAAACCTAGCAGTACTGTCGTGTTTATTGTTTTCTCCGCTTGAAAATAGTTGGAATATTATTTTTAAGCTATCTTTGCGCATACAAAAATAACTCTTGAAGACAATTAACATTTTAACATATGGCTTCTTTTTCCAAACCTTTTATATTATATCTTTCTCACAACAATAATTTTGTTTGTTTGTT